TGCCGTCGCTAGAATCTTAAAATTATTTCTGCGTGGTAACTACGAGACATGTCGATGCAGCTTTGCAAAGGAGTGGCGAAAACTGGTTCATGGACTGCAGAGCTGGGAACCACTGAAGAAGCCGCACCACCAGAGATCCGCGAGCTTTGTTAGGGGCACCAACTTGGCAGGTGAGCTCATTATAGGCTGGCAAGGGTGGAAAGTGTTCGCATTATCCTTCCACATTTAGTTTCCTAGTACTGCCGAACTTGCATGGTCCAGTTACAACCACTGGATACCTAACACATTTCACAATACACCGCTTCATTTCACGCAAAACACGTACACGTACAAAATATGCCTCAAAAGCAAGTCTATGTAGCAATAAAAAGATTGTAGTGCTTATAGCCCCCCCCCCCCCTCCCTTGCTTAATGAACTTCTACATATGTTCAGAGTATACTCGTGCACGAAAGTCTTGCCGCTCAATTTACATCGAATGTTGATTTGCTGACAGTGAGAAAAGTGTAAGATATATCTTAACTCCTGCCGAAACACCCCACGTCAAACCTCTTGTAAATTAATTGCCTCTAGCAACATTACTGTCACTGTACTACCTTCATCAAACCACAATATGCCAACCATAACTGATATAACAATCTTGAACGGACTAAAAGTGATACCTGGCTGATACATTAGAATAGAACAAATAGAAAACAACGTACCACTACTTTTTGAAAAGTAGAATACCAATTCTTCTACGTAAAGTACGATACTACGTACGATACTGAAGTGCTTGGAACTCGTTTCTGAACTGGCCTTAGGGAGGCTTGATGTCGGGAAAGTAATCGCGTTAATATGAGTAATAAGAGTTTTAGAACATCAAAGGAACAGCCAAGCATCACACAATGTGAATAGAGTAACAAGTGGCTAGGTCGTCCAATGGTCCAACTTATTAGAAAACTTGTCCTTGATTACCTATTAATTGTGGCGCATATACCCTCTTTAGACATATTTCTTCATCGTCGTCGGCCACTGCTCAAAAAATTGCACAGAATTCCTAACAAGTGTGTAGCGGATGCACAAAAATTATGTTTATGTATGACGTAGTGGGTACGCAGCAGTATTATTGTAGCAGTTACACAAAAAGTGTTTAGAAAAGGCTCTGGAAGGCCGCTATTTTAGCGTTTGCTGTGACTGTGCTGCGTGTCCCGCGTAGGCCTGGCGTTTTTTTTTTTTCATCCATGGGCTAAGTTTAAATTCAGCATTTGAAACAAATATCTTGAGCTACCGTGAACTCGCTTTGCTGTACGCAACATGACATCTTTGTGTCCTTGCAGCTTTTTGACCTTATATATCATCCGGCGGATGCTTCGTCCAAACCTGCATTGCCTTTCGCGTCTGACCTGCAGTGCGTCTTTTGGGTGGGTAAGACAATCGTCCGGATACCCCGTTCCTGTGGCCATGGCATTCCTTAGCCCACAAGAATGCATGTTCTGGTTCCTGCCTCGTGCTTCTCTTCTGGGGAATGCATCCTGCAAGACAGCCCATCGCTAGTTCCTGTCCTTCTGTCTTCAATACGTGAGGACATGGTGTTGCTGATCTTCGCCACTCCACCATATGACCACCAGCGGATGAAGAATGGGTGAAGGACTGCATCTCGCATTGCCTCCGCGAGAAAAACCAGTGATTACTAGATCCACCCTGGCCTACTGCCCATGAAATGCTGCGAAGCACTTCACATCGGTGAACTATTGCATTAAGTTGATTGCGTCATTCTTTTCCGCACTCATCGAGAACTATAACCACAGTAAAACAATCGGACAACCCTCAAGCCGCATTAACATTCACAAATATTCACTCTTCCCGTCGGCAATCAGTCAGTGGAACATGTTACCTGATAGTGTTGTGAATTGTACAATTACATATACTGTGGAATCAATTGTTGCAGTAGTGTGCGCCATTCATTTCTGTCCATGATTGTGACTTTTTTGCAACGCTTTTTTATGTTTTCTGTAACCACTCCTACAAGGGTCGATTGAGTCTGCAGTATGCTCAAATAAAAAAATAAAAAAATATTGTGCCCTGTTTGCGATGTGCCCAGTTTTCGTATTTCCCGTGCTAAAGCTGGCCGGAAAGGTTGGCTTCTTCACAGTGGATGGTCTAAACTAGCGAAAAAAGTTTAGGCTTTTATCACCCCTGATAAGGATCAAGTTTTGTCTAACGTCACAGTTCGGAACGATGTGCCCAGTTTGCGTATTTCCCGAGCTAAAGCTTGCCTGAAAAGTTGGCTTCCCCGCAGTAGATGGTCGAAACTAGCGAAAATAGTTTAGGCCCTTATCACCCCTGATAAGGCTCAAGTTTTGTCTGACGTCACAGCTTGGAACGATGTGCCCAGTTTGCGTATTTCCCGAGCTAAAGCTTGCCTGAAAGGTTGGCTTCCCCGCAGTAGACGGTCAAAACTAGCGAAAAAAGTTTAGGCTCTTATCACCCCTGATAAGGCTCAAGTTTTTTCGGACGTCACAGCTTAGAACGATGTGCCCAGTTTGCGTATTTCCCGACCTAAAGCTTGCCTGAAAGGTTGGCTTCTCCGCAGTGGACGGTCCAAACTAGCGAAAAAAGTTTAGGCTCTTATCACCCCTGATAAGGCTCAAGTTTTGTCTGACGTCACAGCTTAGAACGATGTGCCCAGTTTGCGTATTTCCCGACCTAAAGCTTGCCTGAAAGGTTGGCTTCTCCGCAGTGGACGGTCCAAACTAGCGAAAAAAGTTTAGGCTCTTATCACCCCTGATAAGGCTCAAGTTTTTTCGGACGTCACAGCTTAGAACGATGTGCCCAGTTTGCGTATTTCCCGACCTAAAGCTTGCCTGAAAGGTTGGCTTCTCCGCAGTGGACGGTCCAAACTAGCGAAAAAAGTTTAGGCTCTTATCACCCCTGATAAGGCTCAAGTTTTGTCTGACGTCACAGCTTAGAACGATGTACCCAGTTTGCGTAATTCTCGAGCTAAAGTTTGCCTGAATGGTTGGCTTCCCCGCAGTGGACGGTCAAAACTAGCGAAAAAAGTTTAGGCTCTTATCACCCCTGATAAGGCTCAAGTTTTGTCTGACGTCACGGCTTGGAACGATGTGCCCAGTTTGCGTATTTCCCGAGTTAAAGTATGCCTCAAAACTTGGCTTCCCCGCAGTGGATGGTCGAAACTGGCGAAAAAAGTTTAGGCTCTTATCACCCCTGATAAGGCTCAAGTTTTTTCGGACGTCACAGCTTGGAACGATGTGCCCAGTTTGCGTATTTCCCGAGCTAAAGCTTGCCTGAAAAGTTGGCTTCCCCGCAGTGGATGGTCGAAACTGGCGAAAAAAGTTTAGGCTCTTATCACCCCTGATAATGCTCAAGTTTTGTCTGACGTCACAGCTTGGAACGATGTGCCCAGTTTGCGTAATTCTCGAGCTAAAGTTTGCCTGAATGGTTGGCTTCCTCGCAGTGGACGGTCGAAACTGGCGAAAAAAGTTTAGGCTCTTATCACCCCTGATAAGGCTCAAGTTTTTTCGGACGTCACAGCTTAGAACGATGTGCCCAGTTTGCGTATTTCCCGAGCTAAAGTTTGCCTGAAAAGTTGGCTTCCCCGCAGTGTAGTAGTAGTAGTAGTTGTAGTAGTAGTGCTTGTAGTAGTAGTAGTAGTAGTAGTAGTAGTAGTAGTAGTAGTAGTAGTAGTAGTAGTATAGACACTTGACACTTGCAGTTAGTTTTAAGAATTGCTTACTAGATGGCGTTGTGTGTATGTCTTTGGAAAAAATATCACTAGATGGCGTTGTGTGTCTGTCTTTGGAAAAAATGTCACTATATGGCATCAGTGGTTTTCGTATTGAGGATTTAGAACTTGACGGACGACGGATAGATACAGACAGACAGACAGACAGGTGGATGATTTCGTATCTATGATAGACGGACGGATGGATGGATGGATGGGCAGACCAACGGACGTTTCGCCCCACTGATCATCATTCACTCCGTGAATACACTGTGAATTTTTATTGGACCGTTTGACGGCACATATCGTCAATATTTATAATAGGATCATGACGTCACTAGACGTCACACGGGGACGTCATCGTCGCTTGGCCAAAGGTGGAAATGTCGCGCAGCCACTACGAAACGGTGCAGAAAGCTTGCAATGTATCAGATGCCGGTTGCCATGCAAAACGACGTCTGGTGCAGTTGGGGAACTCGAGGGCGCACCGGCGCTATTCAGTTGTCATGCGAGCGACCACAAGACGCGCGAAGTGAGACGTTTAGCTGGCCGAACTTTTTGCAAAGCTTCCACGGCGTTGCGTGCACCTGATGTGTGAAACATAGTAGTAGTTGCTTACAGACTGTCTTGCGGCGCTTTCTTTCTGACCATCAGCGATCCGCAAGAGCAGTCTGTTTCACCCATATAATTCTAATTTCATTACTGGCGAATGTCTAGCCTTCGTTTGGCAGGGCATACCACTCAACGTTCGTTCACAATTTAACCTACACTATCCATAACGCTGTGCCGGGGGATGGAATCGTTCTTCGGACATTATTCTTCAACAGACGTCCTAGATTTAAGTAAGCCCGTCACGCGACCTTCATACTGGTGTATGAAGTACACAATCCTTGTTCTTAGTTAGCCGACTCTACATGCAATATCTGCAGTAGAAGCAGTTTACGGCACGAACCCAAGTTTTGCATAGGACAGCTTTTTTTTTAAGCAGATCAATATCCATATTATTACCTTTATTCTCTGTACGCGTACTCATATCTAGCATTGCACATTTTCATTTATTCTAGGACGATTTAAATTAGATGCACATTCACCTTAATTGCTCGTCTGTTACTGAGACAAAAACTTACATAGGTACACCCCGTAGCTGTGGAGATAATGCAAGAACAAAGAAAAGTACGCACCATTTTCTTCGTGCTTCTGGTTGGAATTGTGCTCAAAGCGGGGAATGGCAACGTGCGCAGGAAAGCACAGACCATAGATATTTACTGAGGACAGATCTCAGTCAGTCAAGAACTTTATTAAAAGGTCCTGAACAGTTTTAAGCCACCAAGGTGTCCACGAGAGACATCCTAGCAGCCACTACTGTGGGCGACGCCCGAGTCTGGGCGGGACCATGGTGGCGTTCCACCAGTACTTGGGCCCTCTGGACTGCCTTGATGTTGGAACTTGGAGCTCCTAAGTGCCTCTTCCCAGTGGAACTGACAGGGCTCAGGACATTTTTATTGGCTTTTCAAGCAATGTGCTAACGTCTATTCAAGCTTACTGGTCATGAAAGCAATAACGGCTATACAGTCAATGCAATAACTGTACATATTTAAATTACTGAAAGTAATCATGGCCTCTGAGGCAATTAACGCGATGAATAAAGCCTCAGGTAAGGAACAGTCGATGTATAAACAGCTGCCACGACAGTTTTACTTGGCAAAGATCCACGCTCCCCCACCTCGACAAAGCATGCAAAATGATGCCAGATGGGGCATAGCGTCTATGATGGCAACAAATTTCGAAAGATTGAATCGTGCCAAGAGCTTGCATTTTGTATAGTTTTGGTGTTAGTCACGTTATAGTCATGTAATTGACGCTTGTATGCTCATGTATAACTTCACAGCATGAGCGACACCGTGTGCGATTGTTAAGCACATGTAAACACAGTCACAGTAACGGTCTAATGAATGTGGCACCTACAAACAGAATCCTAAGGGTATTAGCAGTCTGCTTTCTAAGTACACGCCATCTGTGAAGCAGTGCGAAGGTACTGGAAGATGTCACCAAACGACAACGGACGCCACAGTTTATCTCGGGAACGAATAGCTTTGGAAGCAGTCTGCAGAAGCCAGCTCTGTTCTTGTCACGGGTAGTGATAAAAGAATGACACTTGGACGTTGCAACAACCCGCAGTTGGATTGTTAAGCACATGTAAACACAGACACAGTAACAGTCTATTGAATGTGGCATCTACAAACAGAATTCTAAGGGTAGTAGCAGTCTGCCTGCTTTCAGCCAGGTCGATGCCATCTGCGAATCAGTGCGAAGGTGCCGAAAGGTGTGGCAATACTACGACCGATTCCACCTGGAACAGATAGCCTTGGAAATCAGTCTGCTGGAGCCAGCTCAGTCCTTTGTCACGGGTAGCGATAAAAGACCGACACGAGAAACCTGCAAGAAAACGCGGCGGAATTGTTAAGCTCATGTAAACACAGCTGCACTATGAGCACTTACCAACATAATTCCAAGGTTAGCAGCAGTCTGCCTTCTGCCAGGATCACGCCATCAGCGAAGCAGAGTGAAGGTGCTGAAAGGTGCGGCAATACTACGACCGGCACCTGCAGGAATGAAGAGCCTTGGAAAGTAGTCTTCCGGAGCCAGCTCTGTCCTTGTCACGGGTAGCGATGAAACACCGGCACGGGGAATCGGCAAGAAAACGCAGCGGAATTGTTAAGCTCATGTAAACACAGCCGCAGTAAGAGCACTTACCAACAGAATTCCAAGGTTAGCAGCAGTCTGCCTTCTGCCAGGATCACGCCATCAGCGAAGCAGAGTGAAGGTGCTGAAAGGTGCGGCAATACTACGACCGGCACCTGCAGGAATGAAGAGCCTTGGAAAGTAGTCTTCCGGAGCCAGCTCTGTCCTTGTCACGGGTAGCGATGAAACACCGGCACGGGGAATCGGCAAGAAAACGCAGCGGAATTGTTAAGCTCATGTAAACACAGCCGCAGTAAGAGCAATTACAACAGAATTCCAAGGTTAGCAGCAGTCTGCCTTCTGCCAGATCACGCCATCAGCGAAGCAGAGTGAAGGTGCTGAAAGGTGCGGCAACATTACTACGACCGCACCTGCGGAATGAATAGCCTTGGAAAGTAGTATTCCGGAGCCAGCCCGGTCCTTTCACGGTAGCGTGAAACAACGACGGGGAATCGCAAGGAAACCGCAGGAATTGTTAAGCTCATGTAAACACCGCATTAAGAGCACTTACCAAAAATTCCAAGGTAGCACAGTCTGCCCTTCTGACAGATCACCCATCAGCGAGGCAGAGTGGAAGGTGCGAAAGTGCGGCAATACTACGACCGGCAACCTGCAGGAAATGAAGAGCCTTGGAAGCAAGATTCAGCATTGCAGTGACGGGCACGGATGGTGTTGCACCAAGGTTTTCAAACTTGTTGCACCAAGGTTTTCAAACTGTCATACAGATGAAGATGAAGTACATAGCCATCGCTCACATGATTTTCCCTTTTCGCGGAAGAGGGCAGCTAGTTAGAAAGGGTTGGTTGCCCCGCCGCAGTGGTCTAGTGGCTAAGGTACTCGGCTGCTGACCGCAGGTCGCGGGTTCGAATCCCGGCTGCAGCGGCTGCATTTCCGATGGAGGCGGAAATGTTGTAGGCCCGTGTGCTCAGATATGAGTGCACGTTAAAGAACCCCAGGTGGTCGAAATTTCCGGAGCCCTCCACTACGGCGTCTCTCATTATCATATGGTGGTTTTGGGACGTTAAACCCCACATATCATCCATCAAGGGTTGGAACGACGAATATATGGTTTGAGTCGAGAGACGTGGACGATCTCGGTGTGGCGGCGACGACGATCAGGAGCCGCGTTGACAGGAGCAACGCGATAGTTGACTTCGGATGTTTCTTCCAGAACGGTGTAAAAACCAAGATATCGGTGAAGGAATTTTTCGCAAGTGCACGAACAGGTGTCCACGAAAGGACTTCGTCACCTGGGTGGAACACAACAACTTGACGCTTTGCATCAATGTTGATTTTTCTCTTGTCCTGAATGGTAGCAGTGTTGGCGCGGGCGATTTCACGGCAGTGGGCGACGTGAGCGGCGAACTCTTCCGGGAGAGATGAACATGTATTGGAAGATGTGGACAGAAAGGTGGTGTCCAGAACAAAAGCCGATACACGGCCATACACGAGAAAAAAAGGGCTAAAATTCGTCGTACGCTGTATGGCAGTATTATATGCGAACGTTACGAAAAGGAGTATAGTGTCCCAGTTTTCATGATCCGGTTGCACGTACATAGAGATCATGTCGGACAAAGTTCGGTGAAAACGCTCAGTCAGACCATTAGTTTCTGGGTGATACGCTGATGTGGTCTTGTGGATGGTGTTAGAAGCCTGGAGGACTTCATCAAGCACATGTGAAAGAAATGTCTTGCCATGGCCACTAAGAAGCACACGCGGTGTGCCATGTCTTAAAATAATGGCGCGAAGGAAAAAAATCGGCGGCTTCAGAGGTAGCACCAGACGAAAGAGCTGCCGTCTCCGCGTAGCAAGTAAGGTGGTCCACGGCCGTAACAATCCAACGGTGACCGGATAGCGTAAGCGGAAGAGGTCCGTATAAGTCTATGCCCACAAATTCAAAGGGAGTGGGCGGGCATGGCAGTGGTTGCAATGGCCCCGCGGGAAGACACGTGGAACGTTTTCGGTGCTGGCATGACGCGCAGGAAGTGACGTACTTGGCGACAGAAATGGTGACGCCAAACCAAAAGCAGCGAGTCTTGAGGTGGTCGTAAGTCTTGTGAAACCCTAAGTGGCCAGCTGTCGCATCATCATGAAACGTTTGTAAAACTTCCAGACAAAGGGAGCGAGGAATGACGGGAACCCATTGGTTACCGAGAGAATGGTAAATTTGCCAACACAATGTTCCATCTTGAAGCTTGAAACGGGCAAGTTGTCGTCTTAGGCGGCTGTTTGGAGCGCGCGATAAGCCAGTGAGCCAACCGATGATTGTGCGGCAGTAGGTATCGACATGTTGGAGCGCGAGATCTGTGGACGAAAGAAGGTCCGCCGAGGCAGCTGTATCGAAGAAGCAGCCGTCTGTTTGATCACTTTGGTGGGCGGTGACGAACAGATGAAAGGTGACACTTCGGCGCTTTGCGAGAGCGGGCAACGTGACAAAGCGTTGGCATCTTGGTGGTCTCGACCCCGTGTATATTTGACGCTGTAGTCATACTCTTGCAATTGTAGTACCCAACGGCCAAGGCGTCCCCACAAATTTTTGAGTGACGATAACCAACACAGAGCATGATGGTCAGTCACTATTGTGAAATGCCGGCCGTATAAATAAGTGCGAAACTTTTGTACGGAGCACACGATGGCGATACATTCTTGCTCAGTGAAGCTGCAACAACACACGGTGGGTACGTTAAGCACATTTAAACAAAACAACAATAAAGTTCGTATGAATGTGGCACTTACCGACTCAAGGGGTAACAGCAACATGCCGTCTGCCAGGGTAACGCCATCAGCGAAGCAGTGCGAAGGTGCTGAAAGGTGCGGCAATACTACGACCGGCACCTGCAGGAATGAAGAGCCTTGGAAAGTAGTCTTCCGGAGCCAGCTCTGTCCTTGTCACGGGTAGCGATAAAAGACCGACACGAGAAACCTGCAAGAAAACGCGGCGGAATTGTTAAGCTCATGTAAACACAGCCGCACTATGAGTACTTACCAACATAATTCCAAGGTTAGCAGCAGTCTGCCTTCTGCCAGGGTAACGCCATCAGCGAAGCAGTGCGAAGGTGCGGCCGTAAGACGAGTGATGCCCCAGGTTATCTCAGAAACGGAAATCGTTGGAACCAGCTCTATGCTTGTCACGGGTAGCGATGAAACACCGACACGGGGAATCGGCAAGAAAACGCAGCGGAATTGTTAAGCTCATGTAAACACAATCGATGTAAGAGGCAATAATGTGGCACTTACCAAGATAATTCCAAGGGTAGGAGGAGTCTGCCTTCTGCCAGGATCATGCCATCAGCGAAGCAGTGAGAAGGTGATGAAAGGTGCGGTCATACTGCGACCGACGCCACGAGGAACGGATAGCATTGGAAAGTAGTCTGCCGGAGCCAGCTATGACCTAGTCACGGGTAGCGATGAAAGACCGACACGGGAAACCTGCAAGAAAACGCGGCGGAATTGTTAAGCTCATGTAAACACAGACGCAGTAAGAGCACTTTCTTTATTCTTTATTCAATGATTACCCCGCTTAGCCCGAAGGCGCTGCAGCAGGGGGGTTACAATGTCGAGAAAAACACATCATTAATACAGCACACTTGTTCATTTGATAAGTGATTCCATTCTCTAATGGAACGAACAAAAAACGAATTAGCATACAAATTAGATCTGGTACGGTACTCTGAAATCTTGAAACAATGATCATTTCGCGAAGAGATATAATGAGGACTGTGAAGGTACTTTTCTTTTCGAATGCCGGTTTTACCATGAAATATTTGGTACAGGAGCTTTAGCCACAGTTTCTTTCGACGCGATGAGAGTAATTCCCACCCTAGTTCATTTTTCATATTGGTGCAACTGTCATTTCTTGAGTACCGGCTTAGGACAAACCTTGCAGCTCTATTTTGTATTTTTTCAAGTTTGTAACTTAAAGTACTTTGCCAGGGGTCCCACACGGCACAGGCCTATTCAAGCATAGGGCGAATGTATGTTGAATACGCCGTTGATTTCAAACATGCCGGCGCTTGTGTCAGGCTGCGCTGTATAAAATTTAGTGACTTGGCGGCCTTCGCAACAACTGAATCAACGTGTGCATTCCATGAACAGTCGGCTGAAAAAGTTACACCTAAATATTTATAATGCGTTTTTTGTGTTACTATACTATTACAGATTACATACTCTGAAGCTAACTTGTTTTTTTACGCGTGAAAGTAACATGAGTGCATTTATTGGCATTTAATGTCATTTTCCACCTTGAACACCATTCTTGGATGCGCGATAAGTCGCTTTGGAGCAGGGCGACATCACTCTCATTTCTAATTTTTCTGTACAAGACACAGTCATCTGCAAACAACCGTATATTAGAATCAATTCCTGAGCAAATGCCATTTATATATATTAAAAATAAAAGTGGCCCTAGGGCTGAGCCCTGTGGCACCCCTGAAGTGATGTTTACAAAACTTGATTTTTTGCCATTTAATACTACACACTGTTGGCGGCCTGAAAGGTAATTATCTATCCACACCAGAACTTCGTGGTCAATGTTTAGCGCTGCAAGCTTACTTAAAAGAAAAGAGTGCGACACAATGTCGAAAGCTTTTTGGAAGTCCAGGAAAAGGCAATCGATTTGTCCGCTATTGTCTATTTCAGATACTAAATCATGGTTAAATTCAATTAATTGTGTTGTACAAGATAAGCCCTTACGAAAACCATGTTGTTGAGACGCCAGCAAGTTGTTTGTTGATAAATGTGCCATTATTTCTTTATACAGAATATGCTCTAATAACTTGCAGGGTATGGACGTAAATTTAATAGGTCTATAGTTGGTTACGTCTTTCTTGGACCCACTTTTATGAATAGGAACTGTATGTGCAATTTTCCAGTCGTCTGGGAGGGCACCGGA